GCCCGCCCTCTCCAGCCGTCGCGCCGGCAGAGCGGGGAGCGGAGCCGCCCGTCCCCGCCGCGAGTGGGTCTGGGTGCGAATGCCGGAACGTCGCCGCCTCCTCCAGTGCTCGTCCACGCCGCAAGTAACGGCACACGGCGGTTGGCTACGACCCTTAGCGTACCCCTCAAACTGCCACTCGTGCACGGCCCGCGAGGGTGTCGAGATAACGTGGTGCAGTTTCTTTCTTTAAACTTGCCTTTCTCAACTTGCCAACTTTACAAAATCAAGTATTGAAATCCAGAGTCATGGTTGCTTAACTGGTGGTGACTACTTGTGAGCTCCTTACTTCCTGGACACTTGAGTCGCACACACTGATTTGTGGAGGCAGTATGGACATAATTCCATGCTGTATGGTCACAATACGGAGTCCAAAGCTCGACAAAGAAGTTGAGTCTTAAGTGCCTCAGCCTGGTACCAACCCTTACTGGATACTTCTGACTTTTGTTTCTTTGTTCTTGGCTTCTATCATCTGTAAAAGTAATAAACACCCTCCTCTCCACTCACAGTGGTGTTGTGAAAACAAGTTAATTAATAACAGACTAGGGCAATGGTAGTGTTTACCATTGGAAATCACCCAAGAAAATTAATCATTGCCTTTGAGCAGGGTTGGACTAGTTAGTGCTCTGTAAAACAGGCCGGGATATACTCGCCAAATAGGAAAGAGAAAAAATGAACCAAAAACCTGCTTATTGGACAAGAGCCTTTTCATGCCCCCAGTAAGTGGGAAGAGGCACTGCACTGGCTAATATCATTAAAGACAGCCTCCTTATGTACAAAGTGGGAGTTCAGCAACAAAGCTGTGTAATGGATCCTGCCTCATTCTACCTTGTTAACATTGTAATGGCAGATACGGAACAAAGACAAAAAAATACTCAAGAAAAAGCCACGAAGGCTTATAGAAACCACTCCCAGGGCAGGAAAACCCCCCGCAGCTGACGACATCGGAGGCTGGAAGAGTACAAGGGGAGGAAGAGCTTTTACCTGCCCTTTTCTTACTCTCATATAAGCGTCTGCTGTCAGAAGTGGAGGCTGAGCACCACGGACCTTTGTTCTGATCCAGTATCGGCTCCAGTTCTCCCAGGGGATGGCTCTGACCCTGGGGTACTCCAGGGAACTTCCAGAAAATGCCAAGTTGCTTCTGACAGCGGTTGTGTAAATAAAACAATTGTACCCAGGACGCAGGATGGAATCAGTCCTGTGGAAAGGTGCTGGGACAAAATCAGTGCCCTGGGCAGCTTAGATCCGCCTTGGCCCACGCTGCAGCTAAGCAGTGGGCAGGCCCCCGCTAGAGAAACAGAAAAGGGGTAAAATTCTGGGTAGAATTCTTCCCTTTTGGCCAGCAGGAAATAGAACAGTTTCTGAAGTTCATGGCCTGCTGCGATGAGGCACCTTCCCTGCGCAACAGGTCCCCGCATACTGAATAGTACTGAGGACTGCACGTAACTCACGATGTCTCAGTGATAGCATTTAGTCTTCTAATTAAACTCTGATGACATTTCCTTCCATGGCAAAATGTAATCTGCAGGCAGTATGGCTACAGAGGGGGCGGGGGGGTGGTTGTTGTTTTAAATAACTGCATTTTTTCTTTCCACAGAAAGGGCAGTGAGGCTCCAGGAGCACCTACCCAGCTCTGCAGGGGCTGCCAAGACCTGCTGTTGCTCCTGTGCAGCCAGCCCAGCTGGGCAGCGGGGAACAGGGGCCACCACACTCGCAGGCAGTCGCCCATCCTTTCCTCTGCCAGTCCCCCTGGGGCTGCAGCATCCATCAGACACGCGTGGGACTCGCATCCACAGAGCTTCCAAAGGCAAGAGCTGCACAACCAGCCAGCCTGGTCTCTCTTCTGATCAGGGACCTCTGTTACGTTATCTTACACATAATCGCTCTGAGGTTTACTCTAAGAGGACAATCATTACACTCAAGATAAAACTTGATAAAACTTGTTTCCGTTCAACACTACCACACATGCAAACATATATCAAGCAAACAGCGCGGCACCTTTCAGCCCCCATGTCCCACAGTCACAGGAGGCCGTTTTGTGGCTCTGCTTCTACCCCTTGAATTACACTCAGTGTAGCCAGTGGAAGCCAGCTTCCAGCATCACATTTAGACTGGCTGGCCAGTGCGCAGGGCTCGGGGAAAGCAGGGGCCGGAAAGGAAGGGCCAGGCCTCCAGATAGTGCCTCCAAGCTGAAGGAGTGCTGCACCCATATCATCGTCTCAAAATAGACCCGACTGCAGCGCCACAGCAAGCACCAGAGACCACATAATGACACACTATGTTGCGGGTACAGAGGGGTGGAAAATAGGAAAAGTATATTTAGCAAACTATTTCCTGATACTGTTCCCCTCCTGTGAGAGCTAAGTATTTAAAACAAACATTGTGGGCAAATAAACTCTGTCCTTCAAAGCAGACAAGACATTTCACAGAAGCACAGAAACACGTAAGTAGGAAGGGCCATCTGGAGGTCTCCGGCCCAGCCACCTCCTCCCAAGCACGTCCACTCAGAGCAGGATGCTCTGTCAAATTTGGAGTAGGTACTGAGATCTCACGGCCTCTCTGCGGCCTCCTTCCTTTGACCACCCTCTTGGTAGAAATTTCTTTTCTTTATACCGAGTCAGAAGTTGCCATGTTCCAACATGTCCCTCCCGTCCCATCCCTGTGCACCTCTGAAGAGTCTGGCTCCACCTTCTCCACCCCCGCCCGTTAGGGAGCTGTAGGCAGCAGCAAGACCTCTCCTTAACCTCTTCTGAAGTCTGGACAACGCCCCTTCTCCCAGCCTTCCCTTGCAAGCCCTGTGTTCCATTGCTCAACACCCGCCAACAGCAGGAGGTACAGTAACATCATGAAAAAGTGAAATGGGCAAAAAGTGAGTTAGGAGTGAGCAAAGCAAACTGGTGGCAGCACCTATCCTGACAGGAACCGTGTGACAGCCCACCAGTGTAACCCATAGTTAGATTGGGTGCAGTCTGGGAGTACGTGCCACCAGGAGGAGATGCCACGATGGGCACAGCACCAGCACACTGCCTCTGCAAGCTGCTATTTTTAAGATCTGAGCAAAATACACTGCAAGGAGACAGGGAGAGCACCTTGAGGTCAAGCTGTGGGCTGCAGCTCAGGCAGGTTGCAGGCAGGCATCAGGGTCAGACCAGTCAGACCAGTAACACTGGGCTGATCGCTCCAGTGGCCAGAAACACCCAGTTTCCCAGAAGGCAGGGGACTCCGCAGCCAGAGTTTTGGCACCCAGGACTGACTGAACCCACACTCTGCTCTGCACCACCCCCAGAGAAACAGGCTGGAAATGCAGCATTTTGCATCTACAGACAACTTAGCAGTTCATCACACAAATTTAACAGGGAAAGCTCAGCTTGGCTGGCCTACACATGGAGCAGGAAGAAAGCACAGGAGAGCAGAGCAACCTCCTTTACCAACATTGCACAATGGTAATTTTCAGTTCCTGGGTTTAGTGCTCCCGTGCTGGCTTTGGGACTCCTATTTGGGAAATCAGAGAGGAGAAGCCAAGCAGACAAGAGAAATTGTCCCGGTCACACTGGACTTTCTTGCTACCTAACCACACCAACTCCCCACCTGCCAGTGACCCACTGAAACTATCAACAACTGGCCCATAGAACTGAGCTAAGGGAATGCGCAGGCTGAGAAGCAGCTGACAGAGAAGAAGTGCACAAAACTACCCTGCAGCACCTAGTCCAGAGCGGATGCTAGAAAACTGCCTTGTGGATGCATCACAGGTTTCCTGTGTGACCCTGGACAGGCCACTTCACCCAGGCGTTAGTCTCCCCCACTGTACACAGAAGGTGTCATGTTTAACTGTCACAAGGATTGACTCATTGATGTCTAAGGCACTTGGACATCCTTGGATATAGAGAAAAACCGTGAAAAGAACAAATGCTGTAGAGAGAATACCAACCAGAGAGAAGACATGCGCATGCTCCCATGCACCGACTCCACACGGCACATGAGGTCCATGGTGTTTATAACACATGTAGTACAGACAAGGTGATCTTTCTACTGATAGAGACAGAGAGGAGAAAGATACCAGAGATAAGTCTATCAGTATTTCTGAACAGTGTTCCCAAAGGATCTCAGGACGAACTTGCTTCCACTAGGAAGGATCAATTGTTTGCTCTTGGAAAGCCCACCCAAATACTGGGCAATACAGCTTTTAGGCCAGAAAAACCACAGATGGGACAGGCTGTGATTTGCAAAGCCACCTGATTTCAGCAGCTCTGTTTGTTGCAAGTTTGCACGCTCCTTCTTCTTACCCTGATTCAGGGATCTTAGTCTTTTTTGCCCTAGGCTGACCAATGATGCAGAGGGACAAGAAATAATGGAGCCATTCTCTTCAGTGCCTTGTAGCCGTCGGTGACTTCCAAGCAGTCCTCTGCCCAAGGATGGGAAGAACAAGTGGAGATGAAAGCCATTCTCTCCCATATCCACCTACCTCCCCACAAGAGCTTTGGTCTTTTTCACTAGGGTAAATTTCAGCACCAAGTCTGACAGCCCAGCAGCAGCCCTCAGCCACACAGTGGCTCTATGCATTATCACTCCGTCGTCTGGATGTAAACAGGGACAGCCAGCATGGTGCAGGGGCCGTCTGAGGCAGTCTGCAGTTCCGCCAGGGCCAAATTGGATGCGATGCTGTTGGGCTGCCCAGGAACGACAAGGTCCGAGTCAGCAGCTCCTGACCCACCAACCACGATGGACAGGACTGCGTCCGACTCCTGGAACGGTTCTTTGTTAGGGCCACCTTCGGGGGGGCTTTCCCCAGTAGCACCGTCCTTCAGCTCTGCCAGACTCAGCTGGTTGGGGAGGGAAAGGCCCGCCTTGCGCCCCCGCGCCACCCGCTTCTTCTGGGGCTTCCTGAGCTGCAGGTCTTTGTCCTTGGGTGAGCCCAGCCGGCACTTGTGGTCCTTCATGTACTTGTGGCGTGTGAAGCCCTTGCTGCAGGTGGGGCAGCGGTATTTGTAGTTACCGGTGTGCGAGCGCTGATGCTCTATCATGTGGGCTCGTCGGCTGAAGGACTTGTTACAGTACTGGCACTTGTGGATCTTCATCCCTGCACAGAGCATCAGAGGAGAGAGAGCTCAGTTAGAGACCCTGCATCCTAATGCAGATCTTCAGGAAAATCTGCACTACACCGAGGGAGCAGAGCGCGTGACAGCTTCATCTCCTCTTCCAAGGAGATGTTCCCTGACAAAAGCTTGAAACAGCCACCTCCTCACACAGGAAGGCCTATTTTTTTTCAGCTTGTTAATTAAAACAAACCAAAAACCCCATGGCCTGAGGAGACATTGTGCCAGGCAAATTTGCAGTCAGAAAAGGGTGAGTGGCTACACCTTGAATGTCTGTGTTTAGGAAGGGCTAAAACTATAGTTCTTGCCTCAATAAGAGGATTAAAATATCACCAGAAAAAAATGTCAGGTTATTGTGATGAAAATGCAAAACAGTCTTAAACTCTCATTTTCTTTCAAGTGTATTTGGTAAGTAAAAAAATTTTCACTTTTTTTTTCCTCCTAAGTATGGAAATGTACATTCGGAAACAAACTATCCCTTGCACTGTCAGCACAGTCCCATCTGATCGCACTGTGCAGGGCTTTGGACGTGACAGGCACAAGACTTGCAGTTTTACCCCGAGACAAAAGTCAGAACGTTCCCTAGGGCATGGGAATAAATTATTTGTCTTTATTAGGAGTGGGAGCATCATTTTTAGAACACAGGGAGAAGGGAATCAAATCCCAAGAGATCTCCTTTTGAATATGAGATGGTATTGGGGAGGAGTCGACAGAGCACTCTGGATATTCATGTGATAGCAAACACATCGAGTAATCCAGCTCTGCTTCTGAGTCTCGCCAACAGGCCCTGCCTACAGATTTATATTGCCTTAGAAAACAGCTCAAAGCTTAGACACAGCTGTAAAATGCAAGCTCACTTAAACAGGCCTGCAACAACAGAGAGAAAAAAAATCTAAAGCTAATAAATTGTATTAAGAATTTAGAACTGTATTTGGGAAACACTGTACCACACACGGTGGAAAATTCTCCCATAAAAAACTACACGTAGCTGTGTTAGCTGAGCGGTGGCCAGAGGGACACCGCAGGGAAAGCAACTGTAAGGAACATCCTGCGCTTCTGGGGGAATAAAGCAGAAGCACTTTCACGGTTTGCTCTCTCGTTTCTCAAGCTTACTCCTTCTGTAACATGCTCCTGCAGCACCACAGTGAATCCCAGCCACTTCGTTCCCAACCACTGGCAGCATGGGCAGAGCTGCACTTACCCGAATGGGACAGTATGTGAGCCTTCAGCTTGTCAGGCCTGTTGAACTCTTTATTGCAGCCCGTGTGGCTTCTGTAACAACAAATGCTGGTGAGCAGCATGAATCAACTGAGGATCGATGTATAAACAGATCCTGGACCATAAAGAGATCCACAACCCTTCTCCTTAGCAGCATCCAGATGGGTCCCTGGGTGCAGTCTCAGTAGGAGCTCCACTATTTCAGCCCTTCTGGAGAGGCTAAGAAATAAACAGGCTGCTACAGGGACACATGGCTTCTGCTAGACTACACACAGCCTGTGTCTCACTATGAATGCTCCTAAAAGCAGCAGGTTCAAGATCTCGCCTATAGACAGAAGTATTTCGGAAGGAGCTACAAAGGTGGTTGGAGCAGGGAGAAGTCAGTCCATCTTGGTTATCTCGGAAGGCCCACAGCTCTGCCATGGATTTGGGAATGCACCTTCTAAACCTGGGTTTCTTTGGCTTGTACATTAGTTCCTATGTTGCCAAGTGCTTTTTGAGACACGGCAGTCGGGGAGAGCGCATCATTCAGGCAACCTTGTGCTTTGTGCTCAAATAATACTCCTCCTCTTCCCCAGTGCTCCCCAGGTGCAATCCCCCAAGCTTCCCAAGAAGGCAGGCATTATTTTACAGGCTTGATGAACTGAGATGAAATTATGTGGCCTCACATGACAGAAACTGGGACTCCTGGGTTCCCAGTTCAACAGCAAAACCCAAGAAGTAGTGGATTGGCAGATGCCACACATGTACCCTAGGATACCTACAAGAGACAATCCTTCCTTCCCAAACCCCAACCCAACCCCATTAAGACATGCCGCCATGCTGGAGACACGCTACGTACGAGAAAGGACATTTATATTTCTTAAAAGGCTCATGGATCAGCATATGTCGCTTGAGTTTGTCTTTCCGATTGAAGGCCGCTTCACACACTGAGCATTTAAAGGGCTTTTCACCTGGATAAGAAAGAGACCAAGAGTCACGGAGAGTCCAGTCACACAGAGCTGCTCTAGTCACGTACAGGATTCATTCTGGCAGCAGTGCCACTCTCTGGTTCTCTATAAACTTCCCCAAGTTTCCCTACCCTGCCTGATGGGTAAACGGATGGATACAATCCACACTGCATGCTGCCCCTGATCTCCAGGGCCAGCTTCCTTAGCTTCTGCAACCACGGGCAGTGGGGAAGCCACCTCTGTGTCCCACTTCTAACTGGGTGCAGTACTGGGCATGAGGCTGAACCAAAACCATATAGGTCCTGAACCCATGTTACTACAAATGACTCATACACTCAACTCTGTTACTCTGGTTATCAGGAAAACAGCCAGGGCATTACAGCGTGCAGCAAGGACTGATATGGAGACAGCGAGCACTGTGGTGCCGGGGGAGCCCGTACCCGAGTGGATGTGGGCGTGCAGCTTGAGGTAGTGCTCCCGGCGAAAGAACTTCTTGCAGATCTGGCACTTGAACTTGCTGCCCCCACCGTGTGTGGGGATGTGGCGGCGCAGGTACCTCTCGCAGGGGAACACCTGTTAACACATAAAAACAAGGCTAAGAGACAAGGGACATCACTGAGCCTGCATGGGCATGGGAGGCGTGGCCTGTATAGAAAGCATAAGAAGCTCATGGTGACTGCTTTCTTGGAAAGGACGCACTGAGGAAACCTTTAGTTTGCGTAAGGAAAATACAGACAGAGCTTTAAAAACAAACAAACAAACAAAACCACCACCTTCTTATCCTTAAGAAACACATAAGCTGAAACCTTGCTGCTAAGTTTTGTAACACCATACTGCTGAGGACCAGCACCCCAGGTGGATGCCCAGTCTCCCACCAGAACCAACAGTAGGACGGGCTGGGCGAGGACCCCCAGTAGTCACTACCTTCCCACAGTGCTAACTTCAGTTTGTGCTTCCTGATCATCTGATACCAAAGACTCTCATTCATGGTCTTTATAAAGCCAGTAGGAATGGTTCCTTTGGCTAATGGGGATACTGGAAATACCCAAGCTAAGTGAATTCCTAATGAGGATGCTGCAAGCACGCATCTGAGGTGAGCACAGGAGAGCCAAGAATTCTGGTACCCAGGACTGTGCTCTCGCATCTCCAGAAAAGAGCAATATTAGTAAGAATACAAACAGAAGTAAAAAATACTGCTGCAGATAATGGGCTTTCCAACCCCTATGCTGCATGCTGAAAGTCCCACCCAGGCTCAGAAGGGCATCTGTCACCTGGTGGGGGAAGTGGACAGAAGACAGGTAAAGAAAGACGGGTTACTAACCATGGCAGGAGTGCGTTTCCCCTTCCTGAGCTACCTCAGTACAGAGTGGTCACTCCTTTGAGATTGTCCCTGCCCCCACTGCAGGATTTTCATTTCCTTTGCTATAAACAGAGGAGCAAGGGTCCAATTTTAGTCTGGATTTCAAAAACTAATTTATTAGAATTCAAATCCCACAAAATTCTGCCCCTCAAACCCCCTTAGGGGCTATGCTGAAGAGAGCATTTCCAGCCAGAACCTACCCGGGCATTGTTCCAGTCCCAGTCACACCATTCAAACAGGTTTCTCTTTGCCAAGGACACAAAGCACTCATCCAAAAGAGGGGAACGAGGGGGAACCCAGAGACTTTTGTTGTGACAGGAGATGAGGATAGCAATGGAGGTGTATGAGCTCCCCCTGGACCTAGGGCTTTTCATGCCCAACCTTCCAGCCATAGGTAACCAGGCACAGCAGGTCAAAGGCACTGCCGCCACTCTAAGATTTCCCAAAACTAGTCTCGCTCCTCCTGGTACACTCGCTTTTAAGAAATAAGGACAGCAGCCCAGCGTGTGCAGTCCTCTGCTGTCGTGGGAATAAGGGAGCTCCCCTGACAAATTCTGTTCAGCAAATGGGACCTGGGAGAAAAGCCAGCAGTGCGGGGCGGAACGTGCTCTGTGTGAGAGGCCAGAGAGCTGGAGGCCAGGGGTGCAATCACCTCTGTCCCTCTGAAAAGCACCTCGCGAGCCTGCCAGTCCGTACTGAGGTAGGAAGGGAGAGGAAAGGAAGCTGAGGGTTCCCGTCCCCCTCAGAGCCCTAGCTACGTGTCCAGGACCGGCTCCGGCAGCAGTCACCCACCCACCTTCTGGCAATGAGGGCAGGGAAAGTTGTGCGTTGCTGTCTGCAGATGATGCTCCAGGGCTTCTGGGGTGGAGTACTTATTTACACACTTCACACATCTGAATGTGGAGAGAAAAGACAGAGGCTGTGAACGAGGCTGCCACCAGCAAACCCCACACCGCAGACAGACCCCAGGCAGGGCTGTCCAGCCCATTCACCAGCCACCTTTCCAGGCTGATTTTTGGTAGGGTTGGTTTGGTACAGACAATAACAACAACCCCCAGGTGCTCTGAAACCTCAGCAACCCACATGGCCAGATCACACTCACACTTACCATCCTTCATGAGGGGGAGATGCTGGCAAACTGGGTGGAGAAGCCTTTAAATTGCTAGTGCTCTTCCATATAGACACCCATGGGAGCACCCAGGGACCCGAGCACATATTCCACGTTGCTTCCTCATGGAGACAAGCCTTAAGTAAAGGCTTCACTTTACTTAAAACACCTCCTTCCATCTTTATTGCATAAAGACAGCAGCTCCCAGTGCAGGAGCTGAGAGTGGGGTCACAGCACAACAGCAGCATTACCCATGGCTGGGGCAGCCACAAGGCGACACACTCCCGTGAGGGGTCTCTGATGTCTAACAAAGCTTCGGCTCATGCCGCCACCTCTCCGAAACCGCCTGGGCCCTCTCCGCCTAACTCACCTGTTCTCACACATCCTGGTGGCATTTCTGCTGGAGACCTCTGACAAAGCTGATTGATAACGGGCAATGGGGACATGCATCATCAACAATGAATACAGAGGTACTCACACCAGGTATCTGCTGTGAAATCTCTTTTCCTTAGATCAAACTAAAACCTCCTCAAACACAAGCAGGGCTCTGATCTCTAAGATCCCCACTAGCAAGCTGTAGGTTGAAGCTCCACAGCACAAAGATAACTAGAAATTATGGTCTATGCAAGAAGTAGCAGATATTTATTCCATGAAGGTCCTAGGTGACTTCGGTATCCTCTGGGCTTCCTACTCTTCCTGTATGTCTCTACAGGCATTTCAAAAGCTTCAGAGAGCTCTTCGTGGAACTCCTCACCCTTTTCCTTTACACTAGTAGAAAGGCTTTCCCAGGTAATAGACCCCTTCGCAGCAAAGGGATAGGAGAAATAACTAATTTTTTTCTGGGCACAGCTTCTACAACCCACACTGCCTTTGCTGCAAGTGTTTAGAGAATCTCAGAAAATAGTCTGGGAAGGGGCTTCCCTGGGCCTTTGATGCAGCCCACTGCAGGTTCAGCTGTGCCCATCTCACTCTTGACCAGTGATAAGAGGACTTGCAGTGATGGGATCTTCCCATGTAACTGATCCCAGCCTTTCATTGTCTTTCTGAAAGGTTCCTTGCATTCAGAGTGCTGCGCCCTAGCAGCCCGATGGAGGGGTTCCCCCATTTGCCACTTGGGTGCCCAAGAGAACCACAGCCGCTGAACACGCGGCCCCCTCTTCCCTCTAATGTCCCCACCGCTCTCAGCCAAACACACTCTGCACCCACTCACTCCTACAAGCCTTGTGAGCACCGATTGCTACTGTACTTGTACACGGCCACGTCCTTCTTGGGGCTGTGCTGGGGCAGCAGGCTGTGGGAGTACTGGTGGACACCCAGCTCGTACAGGGAGGGGAAGTCCTTGCTGCAGAGGTGGCAGCGATAACTCAGCTCCTCCTGATGGCTCTTGATGTGCTCAAGGAAGGACTCCAGCTTCTGGAAGGTCTGAGCGCAGGTCTTCACCACACACTTGTACACCTGGGAGAAGAAGGGAGAGTGACTGGAGTGGCACACCATGGAAACAAACAGGGAAAATCCTCTGCCAACAGAGTGGCCTTCCTGTTTGGAAATCGTTGCCACTGGGTCCTTTACAGAAACGGACCACTGCCCCTTGACCCACTGTGCTGCAGAAGAGTTGAGCTGATGTTATGAACAAAGCAGCACTGCAGTTGCCAGAGCATCCCACTATGCCCACAGCCATATTAGCGCTCAGTCAGGGCACAGCAGTGAAACCCCTGCCCTACACTGCAGCAGGACACAACGTGGTGGTAAAACATCCCCTTCCTCTGCTGCCTTCCTCAGAGGAAGGGTCTTTAAAGAACAGTGCGGAGCAGCTCAGCGTCAAAATGTGGCTGACAGCTCCAGGTGAAGACAACAGCAGAACCTACTGGAAGTTGAATGTTCTGCAAACTCCCCTAAGAAAGCAAGGTGGGGGAAAGGAGTGTTGGTGTGAGCACCTGAAACCTCTTGAGCAGGTAAGACCACAACACCCCATCAGTGACTGTTCCGACCTGAGAGCTGCCACCTACACTGAAAACTTTGGACTTCGCTGCTTTGCTTCTTCTCTAGCCACCCAAACCTGCTCGGCTGACTTCTCACTCAGCAGGGTGGAGGCAGCGGAGCTTTTCAAAGCCACCCAGACCACACAGCTGCAACCTAGACATGCAGAGGGCCGAGCTGCATGCAAAGCGCTGGCAGCTTTACAGAGTAAGGGGCTCAGGACAGACCCTGGGAACCCCTGCACTATATGAAGCCTGTCCCAATCTTGCCATCAACGCAGGACACCCTCTGTCCCTACCTGCTCGTTCTTGTGCTGCGTCATGTGCGATTTGAGCTGGAAATAGGTGTTGAATTTGCTGGGGCAGAACTGGCACTGGTACGAGCTATCGATCAAGACAACCTGCTTGGCTTCCAGTTTGCCCACCTCGCTCTCATCCAAGGGGCTCATGTCTTGGGGCAGTTGTGCAGGGTTTCTTGAGGGCTGAGTCAAACCTGGAGAAAGGGAGAGAGAAAGTCACAGCCTGCCATGAGACTGCTCTGAAAGCTGCTATGCAAGTGCCACGCTGCCAAGACTTACCAGGCCTGGCTCTGGGGCCAAGCTCCTCCTTCCTTTCAAAGACAGATTCTTTGGATCAGACAAATCTCACTCTCTAACAGGGTAGTTTGTCTACAGATTATCAAGGGCTCTGATTACTCCATCTTCCTCTCCTTGACCCATTCTCTTTTTCCAGGGACCTAACTGTGCCCTGTGGAGCAGTCAGCAGGACAGACCCCGCCAGGGAACCAGAGCCAGATTTACTCCCATCTGTGGCAGAAGATGGGAGGTAAGATCCAGCCAGTAGCTCACAGTTCATGATGTCTGCATGGAGCAGCTCCAGTGGGGCCTTGTCCTAGACATGCATGACATTGTCACAGTGTTCCCTCCCCTCCCACCAGGACTGAGGCCGCCAGCTGAAAGAGTTATCCAGACACAGTCTGCCAGCAAGGAGCTCTTCTCTGCCTCAAGAATTTCATTTGGCCATTGGGGCCAGACCAAACCCAGGCATATTTTGCACATTGCAAACAAGACAGAGCACTGGGCTGTGCTAAACCAGCTTGTCCAGCCACTAGACCAGAGCTGCCAAGTGTGGCTCATGCACTGCCAAAACCACACCTGCCAGGGAGGGAGAAGGGGGAAGACACCTCACTCTGTCCCCACACACATACTGGCAGAGCGTTCGGAGCCACTGTCTCCACCAGCACCTGAATCCACCACGGCTGGGGGTACCCAAGGACGCACTTGCCAGCAGGACACTTCTCTCCTATGTGTTGCTAAACCCCACGGGAGGAATGAAAACAGCACACAGAGCTCCCGTCTCCGCTCCCTCCCTGTGTGGAGGTACAGGGACGTGCAGACTCCTCACATCACTACTCTGCCCCCAGCACGTGCCATCCCCAGGCAGCAAACCTGCATTCTCCTCGTCCTCCGGCTGGTTGGGGTTCAAGGCCATGACCTGCACTGTGATGGAGTTGCGGGAGATAGTGCACCCCAGCCCTGGAGGCCACACTTTATGGGTTTGCATGTGCTTCTTCACGTTAGACTTCTGGGCAAAGGCTCGGCCACACACGATGCACTGGAAGGGCTTCTCGCCTGTGTGACTGAAGGCAGAAGGCACCGTATCAGCAGCCAGCAGAGAGAGCAGGCAGCCCCTAGGCATGGATTGCGGTGGGGTGGCTGCTGCAGGACTGCACTAAGCACTCTGCTTGGCAGATCAGCATCTGGACCAGCCAAACAAGGGCTTTGAGATCTGATTAACTAGAGAAAATGGATTGTGAAAGGCCTGGGGAAACAAGCCTGGCACACAGACAAAACACTCACAATCAAGAGATCAAAGGAAGAAGTGGAAGAGGAAAAGACCTCTGCAACATCAGGGCATTTACTGTCGGGGTTTCCGCACAGACCTCGGGGACCCCATCACTTTCTCAGGTGTACAACTCTTTTCTTCCCTGTCACCCCTCCCTCCCCTGCACACATGTCTCTTCTAGCTTGCAGCACCCTGATCTCCCTGAATTTGCTCTCCCCCGTCCACAGCAGAAAGGTCTTTCTACCCTGCCCTTCTGCTGCAGGAGAAAGAGTGGAGTCAAACACATGAAGTACGTCATGTGAAGAGTCCAGGCCGGGAAGGGGAGCGAAACCACCACTTGTGCCTTCTCATCTGTCCTGAGTCTGGCAGACTCCGCTGGGGGAAACTCTGAAGGTTTCAAATGCCTCCTACCAGAGAAGAGCTCTCTTATAAGAGCTGCCTATATAGACACTGAGCTTGGCTTATGGTTTGCTAACACTGGCAAACACAAAGGCTGCAGCTTGCTAGGGAGGGAGGGAAGAGGAAAGGGCAGAGGCAAGCAGTGGAGATGATCCAGTGTTCAGGTGACAACAGGTTCGGCTTTCAAGGACTCATCAGCAAGGAAAACAAGTCTCCAGTCCCAGCCCATAATCAGCAAGATTACATCCACGATGCAACCTTCACCCCAGCCACTGGGGAGAAGGTGTCCTGGAGGAAGGGGGATGAAGGATCACCTCCCAGCGCAGTACAGATTCTGGGCCATGACAAACACAAGGTTTACTGGACTGCGCAGACTCCCTCAGTGGGGCTGTGCCCACCTCCACCCCAGCCACTCTTATGGTCCGGCCTAGCGGCACCGTTACCTTCTGATGTGCTGCTGCAAGTCGAAGTTCTTGGTAAAGGCCTTGTCGCAGTAAGTGCATTTCAGCTTGGGGGACTTGGGTTTGCCTGAGAGAGCAAGAGCGTACACAGGAATGAGATCATGTGGCACAGCCCTGTCCCCCCCCCAGCGTCACAGGGCCCTCACCCCAAGACATGTCTGTTCAGGACCAAGGCTTATGAAAGGATAAGATCTGCCTGGCCAGACTGGGGAGATATAAATATATAAATAATATATAAAACCTATACTTAACATAGCCTGAGCTAACTCCAGAAGTACTGAGGAGAGCAGCAGTAGAGGGGACAGGGCATCCACTTCAGGCATTAACCGCTCCAGGGACCCTTCCAGCTGTGCTACAAAGCACCTACTTTAAAGGCATGTTGGGCATTGGGAAAAGACACAGGGTTAGTGAGAGGAAGGGCCCCAGTTCTGTCTCTCTCCTCAAGGCTCACAAGGTCAGCCATCAGCCAGAGCACATGCATATTTCTCCCATCCAGAAGATCAGTCAGTCATATGTTCTATCTACTATGATGGGGTATAAACCAATGGAAAACAGCAGAACTGTGGGCTACTCTAGAAAATTCTGGACTGAGCTGCAGCCTGCATGATCATTCACACCTCTGCAAATAACGTTAAACCCTAGCATCTGTATGGTTGTAACTCCAGAGGCCCAACCTTCCCGGGGAGGAAGGCCAGGTGGCTTTCCTCCACCTCACGCCTGGGACCTCCCTTGTCACTCAGCTAGGTGTGCTTGCATCACACCAGCAATGGGCAGGCTCGGCCAGCGGAGGGGCTGGTGGGCCTCCATCCCGTAATGGGTCCCCCATCCTGTAATGGGGCACACCCCTGTCCTGCCTCAGCCGGGGACAGGCGTGTTTTCTTCATAGGCATTGAAACACCCAGCAGGGATGGGTCAGCTGGCCCTTGAGAAGAGAGTCTAGCCAGGCCACATCTAGCCCACTGGCCTTGCAGCTGGGCAGTCTTCCTTGGGTTAAATCAGACCAAGCTCTAACACCTCACTTTGCAGGATCTCCCCATTTCAGGTGTGATCCAATAAGCACGTAGCTGCAGAAATTTAGCACAAGCTTGCCCGTGGAGTAACACAGTGACAGTCCTTTCACGTGTGCCCAGAGATGAAAGACAAGAAGCACGTCCACACTTTCACCTGCTCTTGATAGCTTTGTGCAGGGCATCGTGTTCCTCCTCCGGAGCTGCCTGCACAGCCAGTGCCACCCCACTGCACCTGGAGAGCCCGTGGGTTGACAGTCCACTATGGGATAAACACGCTGGCCTACAGGTTAGTGCACAGCAAACTCTGTAAAGACACTTACCTTCCTGCAGCCCGCTCTCGTTTTTGCAGCGCCGACTTTTGGCAGCGGAGGTGGAATCAAAACCAACCACACCACCTCCTCCTGCACCGGTCAAAGGTGTGGGAGTGCTGGTGCTCTTGGACTTGAACCCCTGCTTCCCAGGGCTGTACACAGGAGGAGAAGGGTACACAGGACTTTCCACACACTGGCTTGGTACCTGCAAGAGTGCAATTTATCAGAGGAAACAGGTTTGCTACACAGAGTCATACTGTGCCCTAACCTCTGTCTCCAGCAACGCTTGCCATACCAGGCTATTAGTCTGACTGAGTTTTCTGCCTCCTGCCAAACTGGATCGAGTTTCTGGTTTATCAGTCCAACAACGTGTCTCTAACTAAAACTAACACCCTGCGCAGTGTGAAACTCTCTTGCTGAACATCACAAAGTATCCAGGAGTTATTACAGCAGGAACAGGACAGCAAAGAAACACTGTGAAGGAGCCACCTAATCCCTCATCTATGTCCTATGCCCAGAAGAGTTTCTCATCCCTCTGGAGCACGTTACCAGAACGATCACCACTGACCCTGTGGGTTCACACACCCCTGAAGGCAGGGATCTCCAGGCCCTGCTGCCTGCACCGGAAGGACTGCAGAAGGGAACGAAAGCACAAGAAAACTCCAGGTGGCAAAGCACAGTTGTTTATGTCAGCGCCAATATTAGAAAAGGATGCTTAGAGAAAAAGACAAGAGGCATCAGTCTGGGGTGACAAGGTTTGAGGGCATTTCTGTTGTCCACCCTGATAAATTAACATAGAGCACTAAGTATCCAACATCCCCGTCCATTTCTGACCACTGACACTTCCAGATCAGATGCCAGCTACAAAGATAAGGCCGACAAACCTCTGTTAAACCCAGTAGTTTCCATTGTGAATGGCAATGCTAATGTGGAGGCTGCGAACAGCTGACCCACTGGTAAATCCATCCCTGCCTGTACCTCTCTTTAGGAGAAGCTGCCTTGTCAAGCTTGCTTATTGATATTCAGATTAAATTTTTCTCTCCACTTAAGCCTGCAGCGCACAGGGTGCTGCTCTGCACATCTCTGGGAGGTAAGCCCCCTCACCTCGGCTCCCTCTCACTCCCAACACCTGCAGGTGTCCCTCAACCACAGCAGACATCCAGGTCTCCTAAGCCCCTGCTAGCCAAGCCCTCCGACCCTCTTAACCGTTTTTCTTGTTCTCATAATCCCTGTCATCTTGCCAACATCCTTCTGTTCAGTACCTTCTCCCAGAGGAAATAATCACTGTCAAATAACCTAACACATCTTCCCAGACTCTTAATTCCGAGCAGCCTTGCTTGTTAGAAGAAGCCCAGGAGGACAGAGCCCCTGCGGACAGTCCCTGGCCTTACCTCCATGGGTGGATAGGGCTGCATCCCCAGCGTCTGGATCTCCACCGTGCTGTTTGCTGCCATAGGAGCAGGCGCACTGTACACTTCGACCACCCCGCTGCCGCCGGCGCTGGGCTGCCCCGGAGCCCCCATGCTCGGGGGGGGAGGCGGCGGAGGCTGAGGAGGGGGTGGCGGCGGGG